GAAAGTATAAGAAGAGAAAGAAAGAAATAGAAAGAAAAACTTCCTAAATCAATCCTTCCACAATCCTAGGAATATATACAATTCTATTTTTACACAACAACCAAATATAGATCTGCACCAGTAACCCCACGTTTTCCAACACAGATTTGGCTAAAGGGTACAATRGGTGTTTGGTACATTCTCTGGTGCCTTTTCTCAGTGCAATAGGTAGGACATACTCAGACTGTGAAGGTGCAGGTTCAGGTTCTGCATATCCTTCAGTTCCAAGATTAGGAGTTGAATCTTGGACTTGCACAAGTTGAGGATCTGAATTTCTTCTCCCAGAGTAAACCCACATATATCTCACATCATCATGCACATCATTGGTGGGGTTAACAGTGTCTGAATTTGGTTCAATGGTCGGGTTGTTTGACTCTTGTTGAGACTCGTGAATGTGGGGCTCAGAAGATCGTAACTCAGAGGGATGTGACTCTTGACGGTTGGATGACTGTGAGGAGGGTAATACATCTAAGGAGAGTAGATCCGAGGCCTTATCTTCCATTAATGAGGGCTCCCTCTAAAGATAAGGTTGAGTAAAAAAGGATTGTCCCTCCTCAAATGTGACATCGATGKAGRTGTAGAATTTTYTRGTGGYTRGATGRTAACATTTATAACCTTTYTGAGTTGGGGAATATCCCAAGAAGACACACCTGATTGCTCGTGGATCCAATTTTCCCTTATTATGGACATGAACAAAGGCAGTGCAGCCAAAATTCTTGGTGTGAGATTATTTGAGGTACGAATATCATGGTAGAATTGAGAAAGGACTTGTATTGGACTTCGGTTGTCAAGAACTTTAGAHGGTAGTCTATTTATGGTGTATGCAGCTGTAAGGACAGCTTCCCCCCAATATTGTTTTAGCACCCGGTTTTGAAAGAGAAAGGCTCGGGTGGTTTGCAAAAGATGGCCATTTTTCCTCTCAGCTATCCCATTCTGTTGGGGAGTGTTAACACARRAGGATTCATGCACAATGCCTTCTTTCTGAAAAAATGGGGACAA